TGCTCTACGTACGAATAATTTCTTAAACGAGATAAATTATTGACAAGCAAGTTGATGAAACAAGAATATCAGCAGTCTCGTATAAAGTCAACATTTCATAAGTTCTATGGTCGATACGATGATCTTGTCAGCAAATACAATTTAACGCTGAGTCAAATGCTGACGAAAATTTTTCATACTTATTGTTATTCCATTATTTATACACTGAATTGACGACGCATTTCCCATTATTTCCCGATCCTGACAAGGAGCACACTGCGTGTGTGACCGGTCAGCAGGGGATGTTCACTCTTCCATGCCACCTGATCCCACCTCCGATGTTTTGGAGGTCCGTGTTTGCTCTGCTCCTTTTTTGTATTGTTTAGTGGACTTTGCTTTTGAATACTGTTCGTTATCTCCATTATCTTCTTGCATGAATGCTGACTTCTTGAATTTAAATAGAATATTTTTTTTTCTACAACTATTGACCCTTAGCGGTAGTTTTGGGACATACAAGTAGATTAAAATACATGTACCATTTACATTTATTTATTTATAAAAGAAGGTACTAACTTTTTCAGATGGCTCAGAAATTATAGCTACTGGGGAAAATGATAATGTCAAAATAGGCGTTTGATGATACACATTGGAATATAAAACGGGAAATTTCTCTCAAGGTTCATAAACCCTCAGCTAATTCAATTAAAATTTTTCTTTCACTTTTATGTTTTTCCAAAGAAAATGTATATGCTGAGTAAAAGACAAAAAATTATAATATGGATTGCGGGGCAAAATTTGACAAAAAAGACAATTCAACTTGATAAATTTATGTAGGAATAATAGACATTTGTGTTTTTATGAGTTATCTCTCTTATCATAATATCAATGTACCTTAATTGGAAGCGATCTCAAATAGAGAAAATTCAGATTTGCTAAAACCATTGCTAAGGTGAGTTATAGGCGTTTTAAGTAAGAAAAGAAACTCCTCGAAATTTCAAAGGGTGCTTCAATTCGATTGATAACATCAGTATGTATTAGATCACCTGTTGGTTTAACTCTTTGCAACTTACTGCGCTGTTATGCAACATGCGCTTAATATTCACGTGATAGAAATATGACTATGCCATTTCACCGCAAGCAATTTATAGCGTGCAAGTGGTACAAATTTTTCTTAAGTTTAGTGTAAATAATATTATGACAAAATATTTCAATAAGAAAATAACTTTTCTGATTTTATAAGATTTAAGCAAGTATGAAATAAAAGGAAACTGGCATTAAATTGAAGATTAAATGATTTTTTTAAGTGCGTGAAAATGCGTTTTTGGGGGGGGGGGGGGGGCGGTACATGCGTGATTTTTGCGTTAGAAATAGGAAATGGCATATGCATTAAAATGCATAAAAATTAAATGAATTTCCTAAGAAATTGTGAAATACTCATGTTTTATTCTTAAAGTCCTTATAATCATAGTACTCTCCATTTAAGACATTCAATTAAATTTAAATTTAAATTTGTTTATTTAACTAAAGAAAATGCTTTTCTTAAGATTTTTTTTTTATTATTTACTTAATATGTACATGCAGCCATTTTAATTATAATAATTATTTATCATATACTAGTAATTAATTTTGAAAATAAATGTTGCAGAACACTGGATCAAGACTTCGGGTAACATGTATGCTTTCATTTCTGGTAAACGCTCTGGTAATGAATGGAAAATAAACAATTCTGTTCCAAGTTTTACGTACTGGAATGTCTCCTTCCCCGACAATAACTTTGACCATAACTGCATCGCACAGTTTATGATCCCAAGTTACAGATGGATCAATGTACCATGTACAGACGAGTTACCGTATATTTGTGAGGTATAAGTTACGTTTCTTTATTGGTGTTTTGTAAATAAAATATAACCATTCTTTAACTGTGATTTTAGTTTCTTTGAACCAATAAAAAGCTTTACTTGCCTGTGTTGTACGAGGATGCATGTTACGTGGATTGTCCTAAACGTTCGTCAATAATGACGTTTTTGTTAAAATAAATGGTTCTATAAAATGTATTGTATATCAAAATGATTTGTATTAAAAGCCAATGAAAATGATTAAATTTTTATTTATAGAACTACTTTTTGTAAAAATCGTGATGTTTAGAGTTCGCAAACACTGCACACGGACCAATATGCCATAAACTCTGATAAAAATTGTTCGGATTAAAATGATTATTTTCTATATAAAATAAGTCAAACTTAATATAAATTATATGTAACACAAATAAAGAGGCGCAATTATCATGATCGTTTTCTGATATTTTAAGTATTGCGTACTGTATAGACAGTGAGAATAGTAAACAAAATCTCTAACAAATTTGTGTCAAAACAGAAAAATCGACGTCAGTTTTCCGAATGTGGCAGGGTCCAATAGAAATGTTATGATGTGATTAAAACGATGTACGAGACGCAATTTTTTTAACAGGTCAAGAGTATTGAAATTTATGTAGTTTATTGATTTGAGATTGATGCTGAACAACAATTTTTAGCGGTATATACGCTCGTAAATTTTTGTTCATTATTTTGACTTTTAAGAATTAATCAAATTATAATCTGTATTTAAGTGTTATTGCTAGCACTTCTGTTAAAATTCAAAAACCAATTGTTTGACGTTAATAATGAAATGAGCTTAACATCGATCTGATCTGGTCGTACTATGTAGGATCTTTAAACATCGCGATATTTTAAAAATTAAAAATTTAATCACTCTGACTTTGTTTTTTATAAGAAACACTTTCATCTACAATATAGTTATATATAACAATTTATTTTAACAAAAACGTCATTGTCCACGAATATTTTGGGACAACCTCGCATGTACATCATCAGAAGGAATTTTTTTTTCAAAAGTTTTAGTGACACTTGATATTTGTTTCTAAGCAAGATTTTTACCAAATCACGGTACTTCATCAAAGACTAGTCAAATTATATTAAAACTTTAATTTGAAAAATATATCACGGGCCTCAACTCTCAGAATAAAAAAAAAAAAAAAAAAAAAAAAAAAAAAAAAAAACCTCTCAGAATAAAATGTATATCTAAGCAAACTTCTCTTCCGATCTTTGTTGAAAACAATGTAACATTGTTCAAGATTTTTTTCAATGAACTAATCACTGATTTCTAAGAACCTCGAGCTCATGTATGAATTTTATTTATTAATTGTTTATTCAATAAATTTTGAAAATCTTCCCTAGTTGAAAAAAGGGCACAGTTAATACATAAATTCTTTTTAAATTTTTGAGTTTTCAGGAAAAAAATCAACGGAAGAGATAATTTCAAAAAGTAGGCATGAATGTGTTCATTGTATCTCTTATTTGATTTTAGCTTCCACCTTTCTGTGAAGAAGCACATCTGCCCAACGCCACAGTAGAGCCTGGTTCTACTTATATTTTCACCAGTCGTGATTACAACTGTATCGGGGGGAATAAAATGACCCCTCATCTAGAATGTCTTGAGCATCTTCAGTGGGAAGGAGGCTGCGAACGTAAGATTCTTTTGGCAAAAAACCGAGTCTGTCATTAATGATTTTAAACATTCTTATTAACAGCCAGATTTTTTAATTGAAGCTTTTTTTACGTCAGTATATATAGTTATTTTCTTAATGGTTATTTTTTATTTTTTGCGTCAAAGCATAAATTAGTAAAATATAACTGTACATATAAAAGTATACTTCTGGTTAATGTAACAGTATATGAATTATAAGAATTTTATTTATTCTCATTTTTTTCCTTGTCTTTCAGCCATTGTCTGTTCTATACCGGAAGGAGTTCATTCTCATGCACTGATAAACAAAACATATTATTTTAACGAAACCGCCGATTTCCAGTGTGATTATGGTTTCAAAGAGGACTCGGGGATGTCATCATTAATTTGTGGAGAAAATAATTCATGGAATAACGAACCACTCAAGTGTACAAGTACGTCAATTGTGACAACATTTCAGCGTACATATTTTCAGACGCTACTGTCTTATTTTCGAGAAAAATTATTTACGAATTTTATTCCATTCTTTTACTTGGACTTTTGCAGAAGATCTAAATAATATGCTAAATCAAGTAGTTTTTCAAAGCAATTTTCCAAATGGACAAAAAAATATAAAGTTTACGAAGTGGGCGTTAACCATAAAATATTTTAAAATAACATTCATGGTGAAATCACCGTAAATGATCATAGACTATAAGCTTATATGTTCATTGGAACTGAGGATTTTTGTTTTAATTTCTTTTTTCCATTATTATAAAATAATTAAATATTCGAATGATTCAGTGATACATTTCATTCAAATATTAAATAAAAATGCTTAATTTTGCTTGAGGTTTGTTTCAGTCTAATGTATCTTATTGTAGGGATAGTATGTGATGTTGTCAATGTCACCAATGCCAGAATAATAAACACGAATATTACGACAACCGCACTACCATTTGGAACAAGCATCGAATATGAATGCTTACCTGGATTCATTTTGTCATCTGGAGGATATAATAACACATGCTTACTTTCAGGAGCCTGGTCAAATCTACCTGGCTGTTCAGGTAAATATATTAAAAAAAATAATCTCACAGGATATTGTGAAACTAAATAGTACGCAGGCATCCGGTGCTGTACACAGTCAGAAGATATTTCCAAACTCTGTTATGTTTTATTGCATGTACAGTATTGTTCTGTCATTTTCATGATCTTATCTGGATTGATAATCCTCTGAAGAGCCTCATCTTTTCAAAAAAATTTATCAAAAGTGAAGATCATTAAAGGAACGTTTTAAAGAAGAACCTTATAACTAATTCATTGGAAAAGATAAGCACATGGAGCTGCAAAATATAAAAAAAATATATTTACTTATTTTGTTTACTTCTCATACATGTACAAAACAATATCTTTGCATATATTAATGTATCCAAATTCCAATAATTCACAGGAACCTACTGTACTTGTCAACATAATAATAAAATCTTATAACACCAAAAAACTTTTTAGCACCAGCCTGTCCGAAGGAGTCTATAAATAGCAGTATTTACGTCATCAATCACCTAGACGGTTATAACATCTCAGACAATATGTCCCTGTCCTGTAACACGGGGTACCGGCACGGAGGGGGTGACCTCAACAGGACCTGTCAGGGTAGCGGGGTCTGGAGCGCTCCCCTACCACAGTGTAACAGTAAGTCAAAGATGAGAAGATATTCTTCAAAGAACTTAATAAAGATATTTACATATAAAACAATTTTACACGAGTAACGAATAATAAGCATTTATTATTTTAAGCTGTTGATATTATTATTATTTTTCAATGTTTATTTTTCAGAAAATTCAAATATCTTTCGAATGAATAATTCAGAGGTCTGCTTAAGCTGGATAAAAAAATGAGACATGAAAATGAATTTTTTTTCTTTCTACTAAAATATTAAGCTAGATGTGTTCAAAATTGTAAGAAAAAATGTATGAATTGGTGAAAATAAAAAAAAAAATCACTATGAGTGCTAGAAAAAATTAAAAGAAATATTAAGTTTATAATACATGTCTGCACGTATTTTGTAGGATGCACGTGCCCGTGTGATCGGGTTCATCCAGTCCAGAACCTGACGGCAGAGGAACTCAACAACAAAATAGAAGAATTGAAAAAAGAACTAGTGGTCAACACTCGGACTCTGTCAAGTTTTATAAGGAAACGAACGAGTGCGTCTGACGAGCGTCCGTCAGCCACAGGAGTGGGGGTTATTTTAGGGGTCGGGATATTAACTTTTCTGTGTGCGATCATTTTTATTCCAGATATCCCAAAACTAAAACACGATCTCAGAAATAATGCTGTAATACAATATTTAAATGGAAGATTTTTTTCTCGGTAATATTATGAAATGATTGATTATTATTTTTTTTACGCCGAGTCGGCAATATTTCAGCCATATTTCGGCGGAATATTATGAAATATAATTGTTTTTATCTTTGAAAAAGCTGTATCTGTGATACTTTAAAATTCAAAGAAACTCTCTCTAGATAGGTATTGAAAGTGCCTAAATCTAGCAATAGATATTTCCCATTTTGTAGCATTATTGGATTGGTGGGGGCTTTATAAAATGAATAATATGAAGTAAAGTAAAAGGAAACTTCAAATATTTAATTTTTTCAAGAACGCGTTTCCTACCCAAAAATGATCAGGATAAAAAGTTAACATTGTTGAAAAATAAAAGAAAATAATTATTTAGACATTAAATATGACAGTCAACGGTACATAACTCTTGCTTTATTTAGGCTAATAGAAAACTACTGTTACATGCACATGTATATATTTTTGGAAGAATTTTTTTTGCTGTGGTGTGTTTTTTGCCATTTTACGTCGTATTTGAGGAGGTTTACTCAATATCACTATAATGTTACAAAGAGTGTTTTGTAAGAATGCTGTGTGTGTTGATATATTTATATGCTTATGTATTACTCTCTATATAGTGTTTTACAAATTACAGTTCAATGTTTATATAATATTTCATTTCCATCATGAAATGTTGTTGTTATTAGAAATAAATACGGATATATTTTATTGAAGAAAAATTTTTCAAATAAATTTTAAAGAAAATAATGTATAGATTTTATGCTTAAGACTATTCTTTGGTGATGAAAATAAAACAAAGTGATAATTGATAAACATACGGTCTAAACAATGGGTAAGTCATACAGAAGAGTATTAAGTGAAGGACAAATGCCATATATCTACCTTGTACTAGAAATGCTTTATTTTGCCAAACTATTCCACATAAAGGTTATGAAATACCTAGAACCCGAATATTGTTAATACATGTAGTTATGTAAACGTACAAAATAATTGAGAGGACGTTTTAAGTTTTACAAACTTGTGTCCAATCCTTTTGTTTTACCATTTAAACAATACAATATTTCAGATCAACAAACTTGTATGTATTCTTAAGCTTAAGTTTTAAAAAGTTTTTGTAATCTTCAAATATATGCTCCATATCCTAGCTTTCTATTATTGGAGGCAATGAATTTCAAATTTTTACATCAAATAGTGCAAACAATGACTGCTGGTGTCAAAACGTATCAATCCGTTTGATGTTAGATTTGAATATAAGTATGAATAATATTTCAAAAGTAATAAATAAGAAGTAACTTATTTGTGACATTTTTACTCTCAAATTTAAATCAGGTGGAACTACAATACATCTAAAAGATAAAAGTCTATCTTAAATATACTTAAAATGATTGCATGTAAAACTTTCGACTTTAAGGCATTCATGTACGAGCGTGACTTCTGTGAACCTTTTATCTAAAGTCTGTGTCCATGGTTTGAATTTTTTTTCTGAATTTTATTACATTTGTCAGTTTCTGGTATGTTAAGCAATTTTTAACCGGGTATAGGTGAGTACGTACGACTCTTGAGCTTACTTTCTCTGTGATAAAGTAAACTTGTTTAATACCATTCGATAAAAGAAGTGAGAATTGCATTCTGCACTTAACTCCTTAATTTATCTGCAAGACATATGCAGGAAACATTTTACACTCTTTGACATTTTATCTATAGGAAATAAGTGCAAAACTAGACTCTATGACATTTGATTATCTTTAAGGAAATACGAACAAAACTAAACTCCTTAACGCCTGCTCTTATCTTCAAGGAAATAAGTACAAAATTATTTATACAGCGACGTCTATGTCTCAATGTTCCTAATCCAAAACTGCATTGTGCAAGGGCGCCAATAAAATATTTCCATAATGATTGAACAGTTTATGCTTGGGATATCTTATTTGACACAACTACATATTATGGTTGATTCCGTTCCCGTACTAATTACAAAGGACATTTCAACGCCCAATTCCTTTACTCCATATCCTGGAGGCACGTATCCTACGTATCCTCCGTTTCCGTATCCTACGGTCGACCATTGTATGTATAAAGACAAGAGATACCCTCTTGGGAGTTATATATATTTTCGTTGTGGATCTTGTTTATGTGCTCCCAGCGGAATCGATAGCTGTGTTTTTTATGATTGCGCATATCCATGGTGTCATGACTTCTATTATGAAGATCCACTGCTTAGTTGCTGTCCAACATGTCCTTATGGTTTGTAATTAGATTTTTTAAGCCAAGAAGGAATTAATATTTTGACTTTATAGCATCTCAATACATATTAATTTTTACTTAATTTGAAATATATATGCAAATAGATCTGCAGACTTTCTAAGCTCACGTGGTTTCTTTTTGCACAAATTAAGGTTACATTATTTTTGTAATAAAACTGAATGTTATCGAAGTTCAGTATGAGACATAACCCTAAAGCAAAGAACTGCTTGAAAAAAGATCGCATATAAAGACGGCTGCATTTGATGAGAAACCACCTAATGTCAAAATCTATCAGCCGAGAGTATAACTTATCAAATCCTGCAATATACATGTATCATGTGTGGATTATGTTTTAAATTCGAGAAATAAATTTAAATTATCTTAGAAATCACTTTTAAAATACTTTGTGATCCCTTGAAACACAATTGTCATTATAACATTAATATTGTAACGTTGATTTGTGTGAAAAATGTGTGTTTAAAAAGTGCAGGAAATTGATATTTTAAAGGTTTTCTTTAAATCTTGCCCAGAAGATGTTACAGGCACTTTCACACATACATACGCAAAGAAGCGATACTTTATCCTTTTGTAAGAAGTAATGCAAGAGAATAATGAAAAAGCACAAAACATTTTTTTTTCTTTAAAAATAATTTCTACCGAAAGTGTTTATTCCATTGATCAGATGAACTTCTTGTCAGAAATGCCTAAAAGGCTGATGGATACTACGCTACAAGAAAGACCAAAAATTGTAAATTCTTTTGATTCTCTCCTTGAGTGTTCAATGAAACAATTTCATTTTGAATAGATCTAGAGAATAAAGAGGACAAATAGGGTATGCAAAGACATTTTTTGACAATTTTCCTGAACATGGCAATCTTAATTTGTAGCAGGAATGTCAAGCACAAGGCAATTAACTCTACAGCGGTTTTATGGACTTTTCTTATGAAAGACAAATCTTTCCAATTTTCAAAAAACATTCGTTTTATATAGGTTCCTTAACAATTTCTGTAATTAGGTGTAGTTCATTAATTCCGCCTTATATTAATCGTCTTAGTAGAGACAACATTTAACAATTTTCAGAATATATTGACTGTGCTTGATTTTAAAGTGAATTTGTTTCCGAGTTTTTTTGGAAAGTGCACGCAGTTTTCATTTAATTTATGTGTATGGAAATAGAACTCGATTATTTCTGCACTCATTATCATAAACTGTATTTTGCATCATTTTGTACGGCCTTCATATTCCATACAATGAATAACTAAAGTACTTTTTATACACTAGGATACAATTGCACTGCTCCGGACGGATCATTCGTACAATATGGAACAAAATACTTCATGGACAATAGCACAGCCTGCCACTGTCTGGGACGGAAAACAAACGAAACAGCTGTGTGTGAAGTAGTCAATTCTACCACAAAAATTGTTCAACAAATAGTGGGGTAAAGCCTAATCATACCTTTATAAGATGTATTATTAAAATTATTGATGACCAACTGTGTTGTTCAATAATTTATAGCATTTGTAATTGTGAAGATTGCTGCATTATTGGGAATTAAAGAAAATTATGATTGTCCCATTACTCATGGATTGCATGTTATTATTTGTAAATATAGGGAGATGATATTCCAACGGCTCTTGAGTCTTAGATGTTGTTTACAGGTTTATTCGAAAACTAATACATGTAGATTCTGTTCGACTGAATCGGAAAAGCAAATGGAAATACACTAACCCTAACCCTAACCCTAACCCTAATGTAACACTATTTAAGCCCTACTAATATGTACTGTTTTTCTTTGACTGCGAATCTGGAAAAGAAACAATACTTACACGTATATGGCGAAATATACAGAAAAACTATATGTACTTGTAAAATTTTACATTGTAATTGAATTTTTAGGGGATGCTCATTGCTCCATGGCACCCGATCCAACATCTGGTGTATTAAATATTGGAGATATTGCTCTGCTCTTGTTTTTTTTTATTACTTTTGATCTTGAATACCGTTCTTTCTCCAGATGTTCCAATTCATATTCTTTGTTGAAGGTGACATGTACATGCCCAATTTATTTAAAATCACTTATTATTTTATGGAAATGAATATACGTCAACTCGATTTTGAAGAATAAGATGTGTTTGTGAAACACTTATAACCCTTATAGCACACCATGGAACTTCAACGTCAAGCAATCAAAAATAAATATTGTTAGCAAATATTTACATTCACTGAATATGTTCCCCTTTATTTCTTCAGAAAACCCATTGCGTTAATCACTGCATGAACTACAGTAGGCATGCCACCTGTACATATTTCTTGATCAGTGGCTGTTCCATCAATGAAACGAATAAGGACGTTCGCATCACTAATACAATAATAAATCTTTTTAATCTTACTTTAAATGATTATTTAAACAGATATAAATATAAACAATAAAATACTTTCTTTGCTTGTTATTACTGGAATTAACGGACGCAGCTATTGCAGAAAAAAATTAATATTACACGCTTACGCGGGTTATGTATTTTTTTCTGCAATAGCTGCTTCCGTTAATTCCAGTAAGAACAAGCAAAGAAAGCATTTCATTGTTTAAATGCCATGTTTTGTCTCTCCACAAATAATGAAAAGGGAAACCTGTAGCACATGTAATACATTTATAAAATATGAAAGCACCAGAATTAACTGTTCAAAAGTTGCAGTCGAAAAACACCACCGTTAGTTAATGTCAAAGAATCAGAAGAAATGGAAATCAAGGGTACATATTACCACAAGAAATTA